GGGTGGTGGAATACAGGAGAGAAGAGGTGTTTTGTGTGTATGTTTGTGTGTAAGTAATGGGGAATACTAACAAAGGCTGCGGGTGTTACCCAATGAGGTTCTGCATGCTGAATGTGTCCAAATCAATGTGATTATCCCTCAGCTTTTACTAATTAGAGTCATTAATACACAGTACAAGCGGGAAACAGCACAAGCTTTCTCTCCCTGTCTCCTTCAGTCATTCTAGCTTCTTTCAGGAAAGGCTTTGAGGGAACAGAGGCATTTGGAAAAGGTCCGTTGCTGGCTGTACTTCAGTCAAGATTCTCATCTGCACATAATTCACTTTCAAAGGGCAGAGGGGGCGGCAAAGAGAATCCTTAATTGTGCTGGCATCATGTACAACATAGACAAATGTTTATCCCTCAGCCTTCTAATGAGAAACCAATAACGGATACAAAAAGTACTCTGCTTTATCTCCCCCCTCCTTCTTACCCCACCCCAAATACACAGATACACATGCACATGACAATGAAAAACAGGCTTTTTGGAGAGCATCACCTCAGTTCATCAATAGCCCTTATGTTCAGAGTCATGCAATACTCCACTCAGGCTCTGATGCAGCAATAAATCTGTTTTTACAGAATGTAACATTGCCTATATTTGCCCATTAGGCCGATCCTGTGGTACTGTAAGAGCAGATTGTAATAGTCAAGCTTCTAACAGGCTTTTAAACTGCACCACACAGAGACGGCATGCGCAGCCCAACTACGCAAAACTGAATCAGTATTCAAAAGGCAAGGAGTTCAGTGGGTCAACATTTTAGGAACTGAATGTACAGTATTATCATCATGGATATTCAACCAAACATACGGTTTCAAACTTTACAAACAAACACTTGGATACTGAAAACATGATCTTAATTTGCTGGGAAAAGGAAGTTAGCATGTTTTATATCCAGTCAAGTACATAATAGGGTAACGGCTAAATAATTTCATCAACATGCAAGTACATGTAATGCTCTTGTGACTTTTTAGCATCCTCGTACAAAATGGATGGCAAGTTACAGGGCAAAAAATGAACAACAACAAACAAACATACAACCACAAGAGGCTATCTTCTCATCTCATCTATCTCCCACAATTCAGTGCGGTGGGCTACTGTGGCAGAGTGCCAGTCAGGCCGATGAATCGCGGCACAGCCTTATCTCCCAGCAGTGGAGGAGGAAACAGAGGTCCTTTAAAGGGCTGAGGTCATTTCCTTTGCCTCTGGGCTCTGGCAGGAAAAATAAAATGTCTCTATTCGCTCGGCCCTGCTTTATTTCAAAGGCCGCCACTGCCTCTTAACAGGCCCTTGTGGGCAAAGATGGCAAATGAGTGGTTTTGGGTTTTCACAATCTATTCCTTTTCTCTCTCCCTCTGCCATCCTCAATCCCCCAGTCTGTCAGTGATGCAAACCCCAAATCTCAGCTATATTTCTACGATAAATGTGAAAGCACAAAGACACATATATAGATAGAGTATGAGAGAAAAATAAAAACACAGACAAAGAGGGTAGGAGAAGCAGGGTGAGAGTGTAGAGGAGCATGAGAGCAAGAGAGAGAGATGAAGAGCATGAATGCCTCCTCTTACCCACGGTGCTTGACAGCCCTAAAGCCCTTTCACAACTTCCTGTTCCATTTCTCTCTGAACTACACTACATCCAAAGCATGTGTGTTTATGTGTGTATTGATTGGCATGCACAGCATATATGCATCTGTGGTATACTCCTGCAAACGCAGTAATGTGTGTTTGTGCCTGGAAGCCTGTGCATGTGTGTCATAGAGTAAAGGTAGGGAGAAAGAGACTGAGTCAGGCCCAGGAAGAGAGAGAGGCTCACTGAAGGGCCTGCGTGGTGTGGTGGTGGAGGAGAGCAGCCAGAACAGGCAGGCTGGCACACATGCTGTGATGTTAGGAAGAGGATTGATAGATCTGTTGCATGGCCACTGCTGCTGCAAGAGCCTAGAACACCTCAGGCAGATGGATGTGGGGTGAGTGCGCAGGTACGATTAGTCTTTGTGTGTGCGAGTGCTGCCCTTTGTGTTTGAATGTGTGGGAGAGATGTACTACATGGTTTTAGTGTGCAGTTTTTGTGTACTTCAAACAGGCGCTTACAGCACTAGAGCATATACTGAGTCTGTATACTGAGGGCAAACGAATAGACAGATGTACTGTATGATATAGGGGAAACTCTGCGTGTGCATGTTTGTGTGTAGGCGCCATACCTGTATTGCTTTATGTCTGTACTGCAAGCACACTAAAATAAGTATTTCTATGACGCCTGTAAATATAGAAAGCATCATTCATCAGCATTTAACATTTATGTATTAAAATATTATAAACACTATAGGTACATTGTGTAGATGTATTCAAAGGTACATGAGTGTACACATACTGTATGTACTCCTACAGTAGCTGTGTACTAATCCAGGTTGCAGGTGCAAGTAAACAAGATGTGGTGGAAAGTCTTGTGCAATATCACTGTAATTTACACTACAAGTTAAAGGTTTGGACACCCCTTACCATTTAATTCAACTAGAATAGAAAGTTACTGGTGGTCTCCTGGCTTTCCACTGGCTGATTGCAGATCTTTCTCTTTCAGTATATCTCTCTCACAAAGGTGACCGGTTCTGACCGTATTTTTTCTCACGCTGTTTTGGCGGTGCGCTCACTGAGCTGAACTAAACACAAATAACACAAGGGGGAGGAGAGGAGGTGGAGAAGGAGAAGAGACGGAGAGGGAAGAGGGACGAGGGAAGCTTGCTGTGTGATGGCGGCACAGTGGTGATAAGCCGCCGCTCTGACATTTAAACAAGTGTCAGGGTCAGGGGGTCAGATGACTGGAAACAAAGCATGACTAGATCAGGGCGATGTGCTGATTTCGCTTTGTTACCAGAAGTGTGGAGGCATGCCAGCCCATCAGGCCTCAGTACACCTGTGTGGCTCACTTATGCTGTGATACCTGCTCAGCTTTCAGGAGATAGTGAGATACATATGAGAGGGATGTGATTGTGTAGCAACAGAAATGATAATTTTGTGTAGTTTCTGTTCTGCTCAACTTGTCTTTCAAACACTGAAGGTCTGTAATTTTCTCCTCAAGGTTACTCAGCCCTTATTTCACACTATTTCTTCCTCTACATACAGATCTCCGCTGTCCACCTCCCTCTCTCTCACAGGAGCAGGACCATCCTTTCCACTCATAAATATGCCTTATGTTTGCTGTATATTTGCTTCCTGGCAACAGCAGTGCTGCATTCCAGGGCAATGCTGCATTTTAGGAGGATGACTTATGGGAAGGGCAACATGGTGGTGCCTGTGGTAAATGGTCTTATACTTGTATAGCGCTTTTCTATGCTTTACAACACACTCAAAGTGCTTTTACACTACTTGGCCATTCACCCATTTGCACTCCCAAACACTCACACACCGGTGTTATCACCAGGAGCATCTGGGGGGTTAAGTGTCTTGCTCAAGGACACTTTGACATGCTGACTGGACAAGCTGGGAATCGAACCGCTAATCCTCCAGTTAGGAAACAACCCGCTCTACCTCCTGAGCCACAGGCCCCCTGGGTGCTCCAGCTTCCTCCCACAGTCCAAAGACATGCGGCTTATGTTGACTGGCGACTCTAAATTGCCCATAGGAGTGAGTATAGTTGTTTGTCTCTATGTGTCAGCCCAGTACCTGTCCAGGGTGGACCCCACCTCTCGCCCAATGTCAGCTGAGATTGGCTCCAGCCCCCCACTACCCTCCTCAGGATAAGCGGTATACATAGATAATGGATGGACTTATGGGAAGCCTTGTCACACAACACAGTGCTAAGCTGATCAGATTTTTATTTTTTTTTTTGTGCTGTGCATAACTCAGATCAGCTGGACACAGAAAGCCATAACCTGTGATCAAAACACAGAAGTCTGCCTCGCCTCTTTTCTGGTCTCATTTTGCCCAACCTTCCTTGACTCTGTCTTTCTCCTCCTGTTCATCCTGTGACCTGTAGATACATCCCCTCACACCAATATGCATCCAGTGATGTCTTTAACAGCCAGCAGGACTCACAAGAAAAGACCTGTCAAGATAATCCACCCTTTTTTTCTAACCCCTAAAAGGCAGAGAATCTTTTCCTCAACATTTTGCCCCAGAGAATGCCTGGCAGGATAAACTCAGCTGTGGGGCAGGGTTAAGAAGGCAGCTTCACCTTGAAAGGCCACACTTCAGAGGCCGAGAAACCACAAAAAAGCAATTAAAAGTATTGATGGAACTTCAATAGCTCTTAAACAGTGCTGCCACACACCTTCGCAAAAATAGCACACTATTCTTTTTCCCCTGATCCCTCTATTGCTCCATTCTCTCTCTTTCACTCTTACTTTACTGAAGACTGGTCTTGATCATTATGAACTGAATAAACAAAAACAGATACGCTTGTTAAATGTATTTATAGACATGTGACACAGGTGGCTGAAAAGAAAACAGAGCAAAGACCCCAGGAAGGTGAGTGTGACAATGCTAGTAATTAAAGTTCATCTAATCCCAACAAGCTTGTTAGCCCTCTAATTGGCCTAGTGCGTGTGAATGTTCAAGCATGTAAATGTGTGTATTGTGTGTGCTGTAGAAACTATTTCAAAGGAGCCAGTAGTATCATTGCAGTATGTGTGCACTATTTTCTCTGCAGACACTAATAGACCCTTTACAGAAAGACATTTTTAAAAAGATTGTCTTCCATATGACAAAACAGGAAATCGAAAAGGAGATAAGGAGTAGCTGAGACAACAGCTGTTTGCCTGCTTATCCTCTGAAACAGGGCAGTGGCATTGAAGCCTTCCTGCTGTGTTCAGCCAGCTACTCACTAAGTCACTGATTTACAGCTTCCTACGGCTTCCTCTGCTTGGAGGGCTTTGAATTGCTGTTGCTGTGGCAAGACAGTATACGAGCGATAGCTGGTGCACTAAAACAAGGTGGATTTACAAGACTGACATTCTAATGACTTACCTTTGCATTGGTTGGTGTTCTTATCCAGAATGGCCTTGGTTGACACTATTTTGCCATACCTGTGAAAAAACAAAAAGGGAAAAAAAAGTTTTTGATTCAGAATGACCTATAGCACAGTACAGTCCACGACCTCTGACCGGTGGGGCAGTTCACTAAGACTGCCACTCCGCGGCTAAAGTATTTAACATACTCTGCCATTTACAAGCATTCTGAAAAGTAGCACAAATGTCAAAAGCCATTGGGGAGAGAAATGACTTGAGGTTAATAACATTATGTGTATGGCTGACTTCCAGTGAATGTGCAGCCCTCTGACTTTTGAATCACTGAACATTTTCAAAAGGTCTAAAACCATATATGCACAGTGGACAGTCTTAAATGTTAAGCTGTGATATTAGTACACGGTACAACATATTAAATTCTGATTTTACATCTAACAAAAGCAATGAACATATTGCAAAGGGAGTAAAACCGAATAAAAGTCCAGCGCACTGATCAGTTAACAAGCTGTCGATGCTCCCTACAAAAACTGGGAGTTATCACATTTCTTTCCTCCACAGTTCCGTACGCACTGTGGGTTCCCATGAATTCTTTGGAACTGAAAGACTGGCCTTAGTGACTGACAGCGAGTTACTCTATTTGCTTGTCTCAGCTCAAGTTGCAACGTGCTGCACTGTGTGTAGGGCGAGAAGCACTATAGCAGTGTACTGTAAATACAGTTTGAGTGTGTGTGCCAATCTGCATGTGTGGATACCTCATATATTTGTATCCAGTATGTGTGAGTATATGCACAGATGTGCTTTTGCTTGTACAGTTAAACTTGTGTATGTTATATATACAAGTCTGTGTATAAATCCATAAGTGAGAGCAATTCCCTGTGTGTTGAATGAACATTACAATGAATGAGCAGAGGAACGACAGCTACATCTGACACGCACACGCACATAAACACACACATTATGTAGGGAAGAAGCAGTGATGCATCCCGGCCCATATTTCACCAGCAGGAGATAATTGTGCCATTTCTCAACGAGTGGCGGAGACTCTATTTACTGCATGCTGCGGTGGGGTGGGTGGGTGGATATGAACTGATGAGCTCCGAGACGAAAACTACCACCTCACACACACAAGTACAGATACCGCACGAGTACACATGCACGCACACTCATACAAATATGAACACACAGAGACAGCACTCACCAATCAGTGGATTGTGTCTCTTCAGCAGATAAATAGGCCATTTTAGCTACAGGGATCCATAATCCACTGCAACAGAACAGGACTAATGTGCATTGTTTGATCACACTGAGACACTCTCAAGCATAAGTACACAAGATGAACATGGAACAGTGAGCATTCATTTGATTAGAGTAGGGTTAGCAACTGCAGTCTTTCACTGTTTGTTGGGACACAAAGGGTGGAGAAACTAAGTAAGAATATGTGATATGGACAAAATCTTCTCTCTTGGTACATGTAATTTTACAACATGATAAAGATAGATAGAGATGTTATATTACTTTATTTCAACTGCGAAACCATATATTGGTAACGTAACCAAATGGGATGCCAATGATAAATCAATAACTCAGCCAACTAGTGTATTTGCTCCTGTATCAGTTTATTTACACACACACACACACACACACACACAGACACCTCTGCTCTGCTTCAGTACTTAAGTGAAAATATTTTGCATGCTTTCAGTCTGAGAAGCAGTTAAAAAGCTTAGTGCTTTTGGCACATATTGGGGGAAAGTTCTCATTAAAACTTTGTTTGGATGCTGGAGAAGCAAGAGACAGTAGCTTTCCAATGCCAACTCATCGCTGTTGGCCTCATTAAATGTTAAAGATGGCTCATCAACGCATCCTATCCGTGGTCCAAATACACCACAAAGGCACTGCAGCGAGATAAAAAAGGTATGGTGGAAGGAGCCGGCTCAGCGCCCGTAACGGAGACATGCTAGAGATGGATGGTGAATGTGATCAGCATGTCTGTGTATATGGCATGCGTCTGTGTGGCTATGGACGAACCTGCTGGCGGCCTCTTTGCCTCACTGCCAGGCAGGCCTGGTGAAGCTTTGATGTGACAGAGACAAGCCCCTGTGAAGCGCAGGTTTAACGCTGTGATGCTGTGGCTGGGATGCAGAGCCTGTCTCCACTAATCCTATTTCAATCACTCTCGTAGCCTCTTATCTCTGACTCTGCTGGCCCTTGGTCCACCCCCCTCCTCACAAATCTTCTCCTCTCTCCAGCTCTTTCTCACTCCCTCTTTCTCTCTTAATGTCCCTCTACTGTCCTAACAATTTCTATCTTACATTTCTCACATTTTGTCTCTCGCTTCCTCTTTGAATCTAATGGGAATCCCATGGCAATCATACTCATGCAATATCAGATCAACCCTATGAAAAGAAGATGCCAGAAATCTTCATGAACTATGTTAGGGTTATGTAAATGAACAAATTGTGGTAGATATAAAACACATCATTCCTTTGACAGCTGTCTGGGCGCTGACATGATAAAATAGATGCTGAGCCAAAAGCTCAGCTGCATTTTTAAAAGGGCAGCTAAATTCGAACAAGTTACATCCCAGCAAAGCATTTCTTCCTTTCCTCACTCTCTTGTTGGATGACACGATCCAGATGTATTCCATTTCCATCATCAGAGCTGGGAAAGTGAAGTGACTCTTTGCTGTATGCAGGAAGTAAATGCTGGCCAGAACCACATCACGTCACGGTGGTGCTGCCATTACACTGGAAAGGATGGACGGACCACCCAAGGACTGTACCAAAGACCTTGTGCTCAGCCTCTTGAGACATTCTTCAAGGGTGTGTGTGTGTGTGTGTGTGTGTGTGTGTGAGCGTGTGTCATTACACAGCGGAGCAGTGCTTCGAACAGCAGGTAGATGAAACCTGAAGTAGTATCTACTGCATATTCTCCAAAGGCCCCTGCATATATGGTATGCTTGGTGAGGTGTGTCTGCAGAGGAAGACTTGAGTATATTACATTTACCAATTGAGTAACCATTTGGTTTCCACTTGATGAATTGAAAAGAAGAATGGAGAAAAAAGCGCACAAAATAAACCCATGCAGAAGTTAGGCCTAACTGTGTTCAGCTTTGAGACTGAATTGTATAAAAGCAGAAAACTCTGCTTCAGGCCTGTTCAGGGAGACAGGGGCAGGTGCACAAGGACACTATACTGAACAATGACTTCAATCTATCACCTCCTGTGGGACTTTACATAAAATAATAAGCAGAACGATGATACTGAGGCTGACAAAAAGGTGCCACACTAAGAGTCCTACTCATCCAGATTTACTATTTGACCTGTGTGGTAACTATTACCCAAAGATGTTTCCTAACTTTATGAAGTACGGTGCTTTATTAAAAATGTGTAGTGGTTGTATTGGTGCTCTTATAAGCAGCACAGAGGAACATTTAAATATATTATTTCAATCTGTTAGTTATAGTGACAATCTTGACACCAATTTCCTACCAACAAACAAGTGTAACAGGCCAAGACTGTAATAAGTTTATAAATCTGAAGGATGAGACAATCTCCAGTAAAGTCTTGTTGATTAAAACATCAGTTGTCTGTCAACCAGTTTTCAAGATAACCTACAATTTAAAATGATGTGCTTAATTTAGTTAAGCTGCTGAGGCTTATGCAAGAGATACAGCATCGTAGGTGTCACTGAAGCAGCAAGGACATTAAAAAAGGTCAGAAAAGAAATGATCACAAAGGAGAAACAGGATATAAGAAAGAGCCAAATATAAAGAGGATGAAAGGATGATCTCAGACAAACAGCAAACACTCAAACATTCACACAATGTGCATGTGTGTAGGTAATGTAGGTAATATACAAATACAGTATAATTTATAGGCAAGGATGTGCATCCACATCTTGTCACTGAGAATCAGTACGAATCATTTTGCAGTATAAAAGCAGTGTGTGGCAGCTGCGCCTGCATGTCGTCCCCTGTCTTATCCTGTAGCAGCTAGCATGTCCCACAGGGAACACATCTCCCTCACTCAGACCGAGGTCAGGTGTCCTGAACACTAGGCAGCTTTTTTGGATTGAAATATTCCTTTATAAAATGTTGCTGCTGAGGCTGTTGCTACGTGACTACTGAAAATCTGTTTAGATGTAGCTCATCTTAAGATTCAGATATATCTATATGCATCTTTTTTGCAGTGTGAATGCTAAAGTCACAGTGAAATGACAGCGGTGCCAGAGACGCACAACAACAAATGTGGTGTGAGATTTTCCAATCTCCAACTAAAATTTCTTGAACAGTTTATTTACTATCAACTCAAAATTTTAAATCTCAGGCTGAGGTGTTTTTGTGGCTTAAGCTACAGTATGTACTGTAACCTAAGGTAGTACTAGCATGATACTCCAAATGCTTTGGGTAACTGTAATAAAACCAAGTCTTTTGTAATACTGTAGGTCTCCAGCCAAATTATGCACAGTTTTTACAGTAAAAATTTGGAAACTTGGAAGAGAAACTCCTGGAGCAAAGATCATTCTGACAGAAGTAAGTGGAGAAAGAAGAGGAGCAGCTGCAGAGACAGTAGCACAGGAAAGATTCCATAAAGGGGACACATTTTTAGGCAGGTAAAATAAGGAGAATGTTGGTGGCTAAAATAAGAAAACCTCTGAAAATAAATGATGTACAGAAAAACAAATAAGAAACAGAGAAAGACATAGGAGAAAATGACAGGGACAGAAAAAATGAATAGAGACGAGAAAAAAAACAGAAGAGGACAAAACTGTCCTGACGGACACCTGGCGGGGACCAGAGCAGCTGTTCTGTCCACCACAGAGTTGATATCAATGACTTCTTCTCATGACCTCTGAGCCTCTGAGCTGACAGTTTGGTGGTAATGGCCTTTATCTATATCCCAGCATGGAACTGCATGGAGACTATGACACTGTTTTAGCAAAGTGAATCCAAAGTCAACTTTCAGGTTTCTCCTTTTTAGTCTTAAACACAAAACTTTGTTTGTTGGACCACAGCTATCTGTTGCCTGGCTTGGTTCAAGTTACTCTGCTTTATGTGC